AAACATATCAATGTTATCCGTATGTGTAGAAATGCCCATATTAACGCTAATACACAGACTCACACATCCCAAGGGGCACTAACCTGGTCCCTCCCCGTGGGAGTAAATGTACCGAATGTTTACAATATCCTTCACGTCCATGTTCCTTAAAATTTCATTGGAGACGTAGAATTGCACATCGCTGTAGTCGTTGCCTTCTTCTGAAAATTTAAGAAACATAGGACAGATATGGGGGCCACAGGGGTGCCTTGCACACACTGATAGCTACGTAGAAATGTAGCACAGAAGTGTGTACGTATGTATTCTTTTTTTCTGTTTACCCGTATAGTTCCTAAATTTGCGAACGTGGAGGTTCTTCCGATGTATGACCTTCGCTTTTATGTAATTTATTAAATTGTCACCCTGCTGGAGGGGTCGCTTCAAACTGTCACCCGGCTGGAAGTGTCTCCCCAGCCTGTTGTGCCCCCTTTTCACGTAAAACGAGTGAATCACGTCACTCTCCGTTGGCACAGTCTCCTCCCCCTTGTGTTGTTTAAAAGCAACATCGTTGCTTTTATCAGATTCCTTCCCTAGAAGTCGCGCATATTTTTTGTATAGCACTTCGTATTTCTTCTTCAACAATTTGTGTTCATTAGTTAAATTGTTATAATTTTTTTCGAGGCGTTGAATTTCCTCCCCTTGTGCATGGTTGTACATTTTGACGAACGAATTATGTTCACTTGTTTCTGCAGGTTTGTATTCCTCTGCAGATGGGACGTGACTTTTATTGCTTCCCATGCGATCGCACGTGTGGGTAATATTTTCCTGCTTTAATTAAAAAAAAAAAAAGGGGGGGGGGGAAATGTTACGCAATTGGGAAGGCAATAAAAAAGGTATCCATCGAAATGAAAACCCACAACATCCACATGATGGATGTTATGTCTACGCGCAAAAGGAGATATATAAATATATTTGTGGCGATGTGTGGAGGGATAAACTCCTTTGCCCTCCTTTTTCCTCAAGGCATACTTTTAAGTGATATTCATTGCACCGATCCATTTTTTCCTTTCTTTTTACAAAACATTTCAAGTAAGACATCTGTTTATTTAGCGCGTCAATTTTTTTCCTTTTCCTTTTTAATCCTTTAAATAATTCAAGGTTCGTTTTGGATAAAAAATAGCATTTCTCGTTGCTTTCGAGCAGCTTGCTTTTTACTCTCTTGTAGTTGTCCAAAATGGTGTCACTTCGGTAACTGCGAGGTGAGCCAGGATTATTGGAGAGAGATGTATAGTGAACATGTCTGCTACTGTTCATGCGTTTGTCATTCCACCCCTTATCCGTTATGTTGTGCTTTTTCAGTTCTCCCTTTAATTGGCTCTCCTCACCTGCTGATTCGTTCATGCCTCCGTCTGTGCAGAACTGAGCACCTTCTTCCCTCCTTTGGTTTTTTCTTCCATTTGGGGGGGGGGCATCAACGAAAAATTGGGGAAACAAAGTGAATTGTACATTTGAGAACTTCAGGGTAAGTCAGCTTTAGAGGAAACCACATTTTTGTGCTCTCAAGATTCACTCAGTTTGGTATTCACTCTGAAGCCTCTTTTGCACATTTCCAGAAAAGAGAATGTATTCCCCTGTGATTTCCTCATCTGGCACATAAACCATTTTACTCACAACTGCATTCATACATGCACGTTTTTTTGATGCTACCTTTAGGGACGGTGAATCGAACGTGGCGGGCGTCTGCATCTGCAGTAGTAAGTCGCTGTTTTGTAAAATCAAGTCATTGGCTGTTTTTAGCTAAATGGGTGCGCGGGAGAAGAAGTCAGCGAAGGGGAGAGGGGGTGGTAACCATTTAGGTGTATATTGTAAGAACAAACGTATTGTGTATGCATATAAGATAGTTTTAGAAAATGCAGGGACCACAGATACACATTGTGAGCTTTTCCTTTTTTTAAGTGCCTGCTCTACTTTGTTCTTTTCTCTCCTAAGTTTATCGGTTTTATCTTTTATTCTTTCCTGGAGAGACAACTTCTCATCTTTTATTTTGTCGTTCAATGAATTGGCCAAGTTTAATTCCCTCTTCAGATTTTTTATTTCCAGTCCCAGGGGACCTTCTGCTTCGTTGTCGCCTTGTCCCTCATTTTTTAATTTCTTCGGGGTGGGGGTGGGGCGGCACAATGAAGTATGTGTATCAGAGATGGGAGATATTGTCGCAGCATCTATAACAATGCTCTCACGCGCTTAAGAAGAATGCATTTGCTCTTTCGTGCGTTCTTTCCTTTTTTTCCTTAAACCTTTGACTTGTGTATTGTAAATTCGTAATTCTCGATGCGCTTGTTCATTTCGGTTTTCTCCTCCGCTATTTGACTTATCCGTTTGTTCAGGTCTCTGATTTCTTGGGCCTACGGACAGAGGGGGGAAGTGTGCGCAAAGAACAATAACATGTGCCCTTTTTCCCTTGTGGTTTGTTTCCACAAAGATGGACAGATGCTTGCATTTGTCTGATGCGTCTCTCTCACCTGTTCGTCGTTGTTCTCAACGGCAGTTTCAAGCTTCTCGCTTAGCGTGTCGTTCGCCTTGTTCAATCTGTTTATCTGCGTGCGGGACGAAGCGGAGTGGGGCCATGCGCTGGGTGTTATTCGATCGGTGTGATTCGATCGTGGAAGCTAATAGATAGCCACTTTTCCGTTGTGTAAGGCATCGCATCAACTTACCTCCTTCACGTATATATTCATCGCCTCCTTCAGGTTGATGTTCAAATGTTCTATGATTTTTTCCAGTAACTGCCCGAGACCCTTGTGATCTAGGTATTCATCTGGCAAATGTTGCAAAGAGGATTTTTTTTTTTTTTTTTCAGAAATGTGTGTGTACCAAGTGGGTCCACATATGCACACGCAGATACACAAACGTATATGAGCTTTCGAATGCTAACCAACCTTCCTCAACTTCCCCGTGAACATGTCCGTACTTCTTCGATGGACCAATGAATTCCGAATTGTCCACAAAGTCTGCACACAACTTCTCCTTATACTTCCTGACGTGCTGCCTTTTTAACATTTCTAGCAAATTTTTTTTTTTCCTACTGGAGTTATTATATTCCAACAATTCAGTGTCACTAAAGTAGTCTCTTGCTTCATGTTGCGACTTTCTTTTAAAGTGGAAACTACCTGTATACCTTTTAGGAGAAGAAAACCCTTCACTTTCGAATGAAAAGGTTGTATTTGTTTTGGCGTCCTGATTAGATCCTTTCACAAAATTAGTTGTCTCTCTTATGCTTGGCGATTTTTTCCTTTCCCCGTGAGTATCTTGAAAATGTGTACAGTTGTTATTTACTCGTTCGGTTGAGTCTTCCTTGCGGGGCCGCTGCTCTCCCGCATGTACGCCTTTTGGGGGTTCGCTTAGCGGTTGGCTTATCTGTTTGATTAGAGCTTCAGCCAGATGCTCAGTTTTCTCTTCAGTTTGCTTTTCAGTTTGCCCCTCATTCTGAGGAACATGCCTCCCCTTCCCCGTAGCAACCCATGCTCTGTCTCCACACGCGGATTCGTCCTGTCCACTGGAGTATGACTTATTGAAGTAGAAAAAACTTTTCGTCTTTTTAATTTTGTCAATTATTTGGTTTGCACTAAAATCACGTGTATCATTTTCGCAGTGCAACGGAAACATCAACTTCTGATTGTCCAAAGTGTCGAATGTCCTTGACAATTCGCTTGAAAAAGAGCTTTTAAGTTTATCATACTTAGGGTTATTGGAATGATTGCGCTCGGATATTTTATCCAGCAAATTTATTATGCTGATTAGCTTTTCTGTGTTTTCTTTGTTCATTTCGGCTACTCAGCACAGGGGTCATGTTACGAATGGGTGTGGAGGCAGCGCGCAGGTGTCCATGTATATGGACACACATAAAGTGCATAGACATGGACTGTGTTTACAAAGTGGAGTCCTCTTTTTTTGTTTAATTTTAATGAGGCATAAAAGGCATTATCTTCCTTTTAATGGAGCACCGAAGAGTTGTACATAGTTAATGTTACGGTAAGGGAATTTTTTTTTTTTTCAGTAAGGACTTATTTTGCAACTTTTATATTTCTCAACGTGACCAATAAAAGGGGAAGGGCTCGTTTCTATTGTCTTTGCTTTTTCTTTTTTCCCTGCTTTGCAGCATAAGGTTAGAAATGATGACAAGTGGGCTTTTGTTCCTTTTTACACTCATATTTGGTGACGGTGGGGAAAACTTAATTCTGTCAAACTGAAACAAGTAGATTTAATATGTTCTGAACGGACAGATTTGTTATTTGCATAATTTTTTTGCGCGTTTATCAATTCGTACAACCATCCATATGTGCCTGTTATCCCCCTTGCCCATATTTTTCCTTTCCTGTTTACATGTCTACATTTGAGAACAACCGTAAAAAAAAGGGAAGTTCAGTCCACAGAAAAAAAAAAAGCGGGGGGAAGATGAAATCAAAGAAACACACGCGCGATGATGAAAAGTCTGTACCGCCCTCATTTTACTAATTCCCTAAGAACAACACACAAAATAAGGCAAACAGATTGAGACGGTTGTGGTGGATTCGTAAAAAAGTCAAAAAAAGTGGAAAGAGCAAGATGCTGTATTTTTTACTTTTTAAAGACAAGGATTTTTCCATTATTTTTTCTTTTTACACCTCTTCGTTGAGGCGAACAAGTGAGTTTAAATGTGGCAAATAGGTGGTAGTGGTCGTGGTGGGGAAATAAAACTGCGATGTCCACTTGATGGCGTCAAAATTCACGCACCATAGAAAAGGTCAATTTCGTACAGTTCCATAAAAAGTTCCATGGAGATGCCTACTTGTGACATTCAAATGTTTGATTTAGAATGCACGTTAGGCCAATTCTGTTAGATTTTTTTTTTTTTTTTCTAGGTTCTGCTATTATGCCTTATCCCTGTGTGGAGGTTAAAATCGGGGGGAATTCGAAACCGCGCCTTTCTGTTGTTCCTTTTTAAATTTATTGGCGCAAAAATTGGGGGCACACCCAGAGGGGTCAGAAAAAAACTGTGCGCCACACAAATGTAAATACATATGTACTGATGTGAAGAAGATTGTAACCACACGTAACAGCTATGTACCATATGGCTTTTGTTTTCCAATAACACATATATCCCCCCCATTACCCCCGGGAGAAGCGTAAACGCGCGGCGAGGAATAACAGAACCCAGAGTAAATCATCTCACTCTTTATTCATTACAACGTTGCTTTTTAATGAATGAATATTATACAATTTTGTAGCAAAAAAATGGGAAAACTTTTCGCCGATATATATAAGTGCATTCTTTTCCTTCGTTAGGATAATTTGCATCGGAAAGAGGAACAGATTTGGAGTCTCCTAAGTTTCACCAATGAACATACATCACGTGCTTTTAATCTGTGCTTATTTTTACCTGCGCCAGTTTATACATTCCTTTATTGTACATGAAAATTAAAGGCAACTCGTTATGTTTTATATATTCACTTCATCATGGTCTGTTCCTTTTTCGTGTCATTGACCGTAGAGTGGTCAAACAGTATGGTTTTAATATAGTTGTACATGCTCTGCGTGTTTTGCCACACTCGAGTGTAAATAGATTCCGTAGGTACGCGCGCGCACTATGTAAATCAAGCGCATCAGCACAGCTCCACGAATTCTGCCAACTCGCCTTTATCTGTGAAGCAACAACTTTACGCCAGATTCGTTCACCTCTATATCATTTTTGGCACATTCCCACAGGGGGAAACCATATGCGGAGCGTACCCAGTTACGGCGCATACTTGAAATCGCGTCAAGAAGACGCACGTACACATATATATCTGTATATAAATAAATATACATACATGCATATATTTCCTTATGCGCAGCCGCCACCCCCGCCTAGGAGGTAACGCTTAACGCTCTCGGGTTCTTTCGCTGCGTATTACAGTAGCATTTTATTTTTTTTCATTTTTTAAAAACGCCACATGTGAGAGAAATTACCTTATATAGGTAAATTTTTTTTTTTTTTTTCTACCCCTCTTTTGAGAAGGAATTTACCAGTTTGCCAATTCTGGAGGAGGAGGTTTTTAAGGTATATGTCGTATGAAAGCGAAAAATGTGATTTACATATGAATACATTTTTATGATGCACGAAGAATTAACGGCATTTTATCTTCATCATATGAATGTATTGCTTGTATGTAAAGTCAGTTTGAAATTTAAGGAATCCCCTAAAAAAAGGCAGCTAAAAAAGGGAAAAAAGGAAGGTAAGATAAAAAAGGAAGAAAAAAATGCAGAGAGGAACCTACCAAAACTGCCAATAAAAGTTGTTTATTAAAGTTCATAAAAGAAAAAAAAGTTATCTTCCTTTTTTGAGATTGTCCCTAATGGGCAATACATAATTATTTCATTCCTTAACTTTACCTACATATTGATGGGATTTCAAGCTCGTCACCCTCTCGTCGGGAATGTGCTTTGCCTTTTTATGTGAAAGTTTCCCAACGTGCGCATGCACATATTTATGCGTACTTTTACGTGCGTCCGTATATTTACGTATTGCTAAATTTCTTAATGCTGCGCAGGAGTGGATAGACATGTAATAATATCCATACTGTTTCATTTTTCGCAGAAGTTTGCACCCAAAGAGGTGAGTTCAAAAGGGGAAAATCAACCCTGGATGTAACAGATGTCGGCAGTGTCACACATGTCCATGTACCAGAGTTAGACCCCACATCTGCCTTCACCGACTTACGCACTCATGTACTTGTCCCCATAAAATATGGAAAGTGGTTTACGCTGCTGCTATTTTTCTTGGCGCGTCCTGTTTTATCGCCCCTTTAGTAGTTAGCACTAAAAGAGGATCGTCACTTCGTGTGAGCGTATGTCGCATGAACGTATATCGTATGAGCGTATGTTCCTATTTCATATGTATGTTCCTGCCAACCCATGTACACATTTTCTTCTTTCTGGAGTGCGAAACTGAAGTAAAGACTGACGTCAAAAATACATTCAGATATCATGATGCAGTGTAGCCCTTTCTTACGTGCATCGTGAAGTGAATTTTTTTTTTTGTTCATCCTTAGTGTCAATACGTTACAGCAGCTACTAGGGCTAACGCGACTTCAAGGGGGTTGCTTCTCCCATTGCCACTATCGTTACTGGCTTGTTTGATTAGCCGTCCTGCGCTGCGTGTCTTATGTCATGATTATTATGGAAAAACGTGAGTACGTTACAAAATGTGAATAAGCAAGGGGCTAGTCAACACGAATTAGTGAGAAAACCTGTCACGTTAATTCTGCTACTCCCCCATTTCCCTGTTCCTCTTGTTTGGCTGTTCGCTCGTTTCGCAGTTCCCACTTTTTTTACACTGTCGTCGCCAATTGGCACACCCACCGCACAGCCCTTGAATCGAATTTATTTCGAGATAAATTTATCCACATTATGTGGATGCGTTTACTGAGTACCTACGTAAACGTGTGGATGTTTCATTTTTTGTTATGACCCCCTGGGAGAATTCTCAAGGAGGATATCGTACCCTTTACTTTTTGCTGTGTTGACATTTTTGCCCTTCCCATTCCAAGCTTCTTTACCTACGTTGGAATTCTTTGTTTGGCGTTTATGTCCGTGTGCGCATTTGTCTTCTTGGGGACAGCCAAACGTGGCTTTATCGTGTTATTTTTCGTCATTTTGTGCGCCATCATTTCTTGTCATTTATTTGCCAAGTACACCATTTAGCGGCCTAATTCGCGGCTTAATTCGCGACCTACTATGGGGCCTACCATGCGGACTAGTTAGATCGCCGCTTATTTTCCTTTTTTTAACCGTTAAGTGGAAATGTTTTTACGTTATTTGTAACGAACCGAGAATGTATGCGTTTGCCTACACGTACCCACACCCATGTTCATGCAGGGGGGTTTGTGCGTACTCCGACTTCCATACTCCAACGTGTATGTGTGGTGCGATGTACTCACGGGTTCATCCCCGCGCGCGTGTACACAAACGCTTACATCTACAAGGGCGCAACAAATAAACCCCATCAATGTTTGCCCCCCGGTTTTGATTCAAGCTACTGCTATGATATGCTGATTACCCTGTCGAATCCACCCCGTTGAAAACTACCCCTTCGAAACTACCCCTTCGAAACTACCCCTTTGAGGCTATCCCATTGAGGCTACCCTTCTTTTGTTTTTTCGTGTTTCCCTTTTCGCCACTTTTACCCTTTTTCGTTTTTTTTTCCACCTCTCGTAGATCACGCCCAGCGCGCGCTGCTCATTTTGTGCCTTTCATTTTATTACCAGCGCAGTGAGCTCATACGCGCAGACCACATATATTTCTAAACTTTTACGTGGACAATTTTAACATCTTGTGGATTAGGCGCTTATATTTGTGCACTCCTCCTCATCATCTTTTTTTTTTCCCTCTCCCTTTTAATGCATACTGTCCTACGTGTGTGAAAATTTTTTCACACAATAAAAACGGGGATAGCAGAGTGTTTACTCGTCAGCCGTTCTGATAGGCACTTCTAAACATCGGGGCAGAGGAGAAAAAAAAAAAAAAAAAGAAAGAAAGAAAAAAGATCAATCTAACAACACCGCTTGTTCGCTCGCTCTCTCGATTGCTCTTTTATGGGGTGATAAGGCCGGGGACGTAACAGCACAGCGTTGTTCGTGTAAACGTACGGGCCGCATACTTGGCGTTTGGCACGGCACATTAGACTATACATGAAAAGTTACACACCTACATAGACACCGAAAGAGAGTTAGAAAGAGGCGGCGAATTGAAAGACGGATAGAGAAGTTCCCCCCCGCGCGTACCTCATGAACTTTAGGGAGAGTGTACCCCGAGATGCATGCAATGAAGAAATACAAGAAGACGATGATGCAATAAGCCTACTATCGCAGAATGCGGGGGGAGACAAAAATGGGGACTCCGATGAGGTGAGGCGGCTTGAGCGGAGTAGAGAAGATCTGCATAGAGGAGAGCCTTACGGAGGAGAGGGGACCAGCCCCCGGAAGAAGGAAAAAGAGTGCAGCAAAAGAGACGCCGATGGGATTGACTCGAAACTCGGATTTGACATAACAAATGTGTTGACACATGCGTACCTCCCTGTGTGCATAGAAAAAATGAAAGAAGGAGAATATGTATACAAATGGAACAGCAATAATATTTTTCAAAAGAAGACGTTGAAATTTTTCTACCTAGATGTAAATAATTATTGCATACGATGGAATTCAAAAAAAAAAAAAGTAAAAGAAAATAAGAACCCAACTTTGTACATATGGGATATGATAAAAATATTGGACGGATCAGAATCTTCCTTTTTTAAAAAAAAAGAAGAAGAAAAAAATTTATCCATTGAAATTATAAGTTCCCAGAGAAATTTGAAAATTACCTTCCTCGACATCCAGAGGTGGAAGATGTGGCTTTTCGGCTTGATGTATTATCAGTACAAGTTTATTAACAAAGGATCCGGCAAAAAAAAAATGAAGTCATTCATATGTGAAAGCAACAAACTGTACGATAATTACATCATATCTGGCCTAAAGGATATCAATGCATTGACACTCTCCCAGCTCTACATCATTCTCAGGAGCCTGAACATTTATTTGAATATGAAAATATTGTATCATTACTTTTCAATATATAAAAATAAAGGAACTGTTAACTACGTAGGTTTTACCAAAATTCTAGAGCACATTTTTTCAAATAAACATATTACCACACATTTTGATATGTATAAGAGGAAAGACTCTAGCTGTATAGACAACAGGAACTTTATCGAATTCTTGATTGATGTACAGTGTGAGGGGAAATGTGAGGAGAGGATCTTCAATGCGCGTTACGTGGACCGCCAATTTTTTGTCCACGCGGGGATGTGCGGAAAGAAGGGAGTACACGCGTTGTCCTCCATGTGTGTGACATTGAATGGGGGAGACAACACAGGAGGAGTAGTACCCCTCGCAATGGATCCTACGCCAAGTGGTGGTACTAAAAATGCAGAAAATGACACTGAACAAACCCACCAGAAGAAGAAGGAAAAAGGTGAAAATAACCCCTCCGGAGAAGCCAATTCGATTGGTAAGCACAAACCAAGAGGAGAAATCGTCGCGGGTAATTCCGTGAAGAACGATTTTTGCAACTACCAGTGGGGAGGCACCTCTATAAAAAATATGAATAAGGGAGGAGTTAATCAAAATGACTTCCACTTCGGTATGGACACTTTACCAAATGCTTTACTCCTTCCGGACAATTGGATGTGTCAGGATGAAGACTACATCACCGTGTTAAATATACTGAGAGAAAAGCTAGGTTTCGGCACCGAAAAGCGGGAGGGAGGGAGCAATGGGGACGGTTTCGCAACTGACGGGGGCTACCACAGCGATGGCTTCAGTGGGAACAAAAGGTGGGACCGTGCAAACAGTAGGCGCGACTATCGCAGCGGTCACAGGAGCGACAGCGGAGACAACACCAAAGTTAACAGTCGCTATGGTGGAGAGTGCGCCGACACCACCCAGGAACACCAACGAAGCGCGCAAAACGAGTCCTACTACATTAGAGCCAAAGCAATATATAAACTGGTAAACACGATAAAGAAGTATAACATCCCATTTGTTATGATTAATGAAGACAAACATTACTTGACACAGATCGGGCTGGTCTACTTCCTTCTGTCAAAGGAAAATAGCATAATGTGTCCAGAGTATTCCAAAGTTTACCAAAATATGAACCTACCTCTTTGTAACTACTGGATTAATAGCAGCCACAACACCTACCTTGGGAGGAAACAAATCTTTAGCTCAAGCAATATCGAACAATATATTTATATCCTCATAGATGGCTGCAGATGTGTCGAATTCGATTGCTATTATTTTAATAAAAACATTGTTGTTTATCATGGCTTCTATGGATATAAATTAACCTCTTCCATCCTTTTCTGTGACACCCTCATTGCATGCAAACTGTTCGGATTTACCACCTCCCCCTTCCCCATCATCCTGTCATTAGAAATCCACTGCAAAAATAAGCACAAAAATTTGATTGCTAAAATTCTGATATGCATCCTAGGGAATCAGCTGTACATCCCAAAGAGTAAAGACGAAATTAATAACATCACGCCGGAAAACTGTAGAAACCGATTTTTGGTGAAATATAAACACTTTGAGAATAATGACAACTCCGGATTTTACTTCATCTTTGAGGGTTTGCAGAGCGTAATGTACGATGAGCTCGGGTACATTTCCGACATCGTTGGCGACGATGATGAGGATGAGGAGGAGCAGGATGGTCCCTTGGAAGGCGTGCACAACCTTCTCCGTGGTTCAAGCGGAGAAAGCGGCGATAGCGACAATAGTGATGAAAACAAAGTTGAGACAAACGAGGATTGCCATGCTCAGAGAAACCATAACCGCCGCGAAAGGAGAAACCCAAACCACTGTGACGATGACGACATCGAGAAACAATTCGACAGCTACATAAAGAACAGCATCCAGAAGGGGTACATCCATGAACGGAAGAAGCGAAGTATTTACCTGAGCAGTCTGTGCCATGACCCTGACGCTGTGGAGAAGGACCAGCGAGATGATTCCCCACACAGTGATGACAACCCCCAAGTGGTAAAAGGCACGAAGCTTTCGAGGCACAAAAAGGGAAAAGGTCATAGTAGGAGCTCCACTCGGGGGAAAGATGATAATAAACCACGTAATTCCCCTCCAAATGGCATCCCTAAAGAAGAAGAACATGCCGATGGTGGTGTCCCCCCCCCAGGTAGCCAAAGAATCCTAAATGAAATTCCCGAAGAGGGAAAAAAAAAAACGGAAAATAAAAACGCAAGAAATAATAACATACTAAATGAATACTCCTGCTTGAAGGGATACACGTTTCAGAATTTTTGCGAAAATAGGACATACAACGAAATATGCTCGATTAGCGAAAATAAATTTATTAAGTTGATTAAAAAGAATGAAGAAGAGATAATAAAGTATAACCAGAAAACGTTGACGCGAGTGTACCCATCTGGGACAAGACTGGCATCCACCAACTTTAACCCACTCATTTTCTGGAGCGCAGGAATCCAATTTGTGGCGTTAAATTATCAGTACAATGGACTCAGCATGCTGCTCAACAAAGGAAGGTTTCTAGAAAATGGAGGAAAGCACTCAGGGTACATCCTAAAGCCGGAAATTTTACGGTTTAATGAAAAAAAGGACTACAACATTTTGCACCTCGATCTGCAGATACTGTCTTTGCATCAGATCAACTTATTATTCTCCATCAAAAATAAATATCAAGAGAAAAAATTAAAAAAAAAATTATTCAAAATGGATATGATACAACGTATTCAGACACACAAAAAAATTAACAAAAAAATGAAAAATTTTAAAGATGTACAAAAATTAGAAAAGGAAAAAAAAAAATTTTTTTTCTCAGATGTACAGTCAGATGACAATAAGAAGAAAAAAAATATAAGTCATGAATTTCTCATGAAAAAATTTAACGATAATGACAATGACGTTAATTATATTCATAACAAATGCTTGAATGTGGAAGAGAAATATGAAGACATGTTATCTGAATATAAATCCTTCCTACTGTGTTCTTCCCTCTCGCACAGCAGTAGCTTTAACAGCTGCAGCAGCAATACTACTACGTCCAATAATGCTACTACCGATTCGACTAAGGATAATTCATCCAAGTCCAAAAATACGAGTTTCTACCAAACTTTTGAGGAGTTGAAGAAGGCAAATAATTTGTTTTTCTATTTGTATGTCACCATATCCGTGCACGGCTACAATGAGCACAAGTACTACTTCAAAACGGAGATCGCCAAGGTCAATTTTTACGACCTCAACTATTGGTAGGGCTCCTCCGCGTACGGATAGCGGAGTCTGTGTGTGGCGCCAGCTTTGGGTAGCGCTGTCTCTGTGTAGCGGCGCATGCATATGCACACATTTACACTTACATCTGTAGACACCCTGTCGATGTGTTCCCCCACCCTCCTTGCAGTTGGTCAAAGCCATCAATTTTCCAAATGAAAATAATGTACCCCTCACTGGCCCTCATTGTGTTTGAGCTGAAAACTTATGTAAGTTAACAAAGATAATTACGACGCAGCTGTTGCAGATGCCTAACATGTTGTCTACTGCCCGAATTCATTCGTTCGCGTAATGGGACAATCAGCCCCCCCATTGTGGAACTCATAATGTATTTTATTTTTATTTTTATTTCATTTTTCTTATTTTTTTATTTTTTCCCTTTTTTTAACCCCTTTGTACAGGACACCGTAAAAAGCGAACTCATTGCTTGCGCGTGCTTCCCAGTTAAATGCCTCCGAGAAGGGTAAAGCAGACGTTTCCCTCCCCCCCAAAAGGGATGCAGAATAGTGGGGCCCTCATGGATAACCGTTACCATGAGATCCCCCTGCGTAAATGATTTCCATCTGCATCTTCTTGCACAGTTTTTCTACTACATTTTCATTTTTTTTTTCCTCCACCTTTGCAGCATCCGATTTGTTCCCCTGTGCGACAAATACTTGAAGGACATAAAAGGATCGGGCATTCTTGTTAATCTAAAAATTGGCGCAAACGGCAACTGAGGATTCCAAAAATGTTACACATCCACGCTTGCGTCGTTTATGTAGACGCACACATGAAGAAAGAATCTCCCACGATTTAAACAATTTCAAGGGTGTTTCATCACCATCCTTCCCCTTTTTTTAAATAATGTTTAGTTTTTAATAACATTTTATACGCATCACGAGATTATTTGTTAACTTAAACTCATTTTTTGTCCCATTTTTAATGATGCATTGATGTATGTCCCTGTTTATGTATATATAAATACGGATATGTGCATACGTCTCATCTGTTCACCCTAATTTTTCACCAACGTCTTATTTTTTTTGATGCAATTCTGTTTACCCTTCATTTTGCAAACCTTCTACAAATCATAGGAAGAATTGTGTGGCAGTGCTTGTACAAGAGAGTGCGCTATGCACGCTTAAGTTTGTGCCCCTCCTCCCAGTTCATACATTTGCATATATGCATGCATATGTAAGGAGAAGCATCCGAAAAAATGTGAGGAACAATAAAAATGTTAATTCCATTCGTTCGTACAAAATGGTGTCATATGTGTATAAACTGAATACATATATCTCGCACGCTTGTGGAGAACGACGTTTTTAAGTGGTTCAAGGGGAACAAGAGGAACAATGTACATGCTTATGCTTACGTGTGTGATGTAATACATATGTGCATACTTATGCGAATACACCTGTTATAAATCCTGCTTAACACCTTTTTACACACTTCTACGAAAATTCCCCCATTTTGGTATGTTTGTGCATGGAATGTTTGTATATGGAATGTTGCATTTTACTGAGTTTTTTTTTTTTTTTCTTTTTTTTTTTGGTATAGTTACACCCCAGAAATTTTTTCAGCGCAAACCCTAGAGAACGTGTTGTTTACCCACGTCAATCCTTTACTTGCTTGTTTGAACGTTTTAAATTGGCCCTATAAACGATCGTTTCCACTTAACTCCCCCGCTCGTTGGTGGTGATTATGCATGTGCTGTTATCAGATGCATATATGCGTTCCACACAGGCAAGCCACGCGGCATGTGGTTCATCTTCCCAAACTGGGCTACCCCTCCCACACCCCAAGGTGCACATGTGTAGGCCCGGCACGCGGACGACCTAAGTGTAAACACGCCAACGTTTACGTACTATGTCCATGCGTTAACACCCGTGCGTTTACACTTGTGGGCTTACACTCGTGTGTTTACACCCACGTGCTTACACTGCATGCTTACTGTCATATACTTACACGCCCTCGCACAGACATTTGAACACCAGAAAAAAGCATGCGCACCAATGCTTTCACCCATCGGGCTACCCAAGTTTTTGCACCTTTTTTTTTTTTTTTTTTTGTCATGAACCTGAACCGGAACCATTTTCAAAATAAGGCACAATAATTTGACCTAGCCAACCACAATGAAGTGGTCAAAAATGAAAGGCGAATGAGTTAAGCAGCAGGTTGCGAAATGCCGAGAAAGGGTGTCATCAGGCGTTGGCAAACGTGTGGCAACGTGTAGGGACGAGTGAAGCGCGCTGTTCATTCTGCTTACTCTGCAGCGCCCGGTTTCGCCAGGGGGTGGGTCTTAGCGAACCGGGCCTCCCAGGAGATTCCCCGTTAAGAGGAACCCCACGAAGTGATGCCCCACCGAGTGATCCCCTCCAAAGGCAAAAGCTGTGCGAAGAAGAAACCACATTTGTGAATTCATTTTTTCCACCAATTAGTGGAAAATGTAAACATATGTGTGGTGTTTAAATTTTTTTTTTTTTTAAGTTACCAGTTACCCTGGGTTACAATTTTTTAAGGATAAATTTTTGCATTTTTTTTTTTTTTTTTTTTTTTTTTTTTGTCACTTTGAATTGAGATTTCAACTGTACAGGAATTATGCAACAGGTGAACGAATACACACATTGAGTGGGATCGAAATAGCGCGCAGAATTGGATGCAACACATCGTTCACGGACCTTTGAAGAAAGAGCAACTGTTCCACGAGTGGTACATACATGCGCAGCGCATAGGTGAATACGTTTCCGCGTGAATACACCTATATTACACACCAAGGCACATACACGCTTGTGTCCCCACGACGCGTGGCATACCGCTCCCCCCCTAACAGTAGTGACAGAAAAAAAATAGCCCAAAGGACGGAGGCGAAATATGAAAAACGCAAGTGGAAATATACGCTCTCTTACGTGCAACGAGAATGTAGAAGAAAAAAAAAAAAAATGGCTAAGCACAATTAAGGGAGACGACGCGATCCACTTCAAAAAAGGGGTACACAGCAAAAACTTGAAAAATGGAGCTCTGTCATTTTTTAAAGAAAAAAATATCTACAATGAGGAAAATGTAGTCATCTTAAATGCCTTCTGTAAGGAAAAACTAGACGACCATCTCGTAAATGAAGAAATTGTTGAATTTCTACAAAAATCGTTTTTCCTGTATGAATATTTTCTTAAAGAGAAAAAAATCAACAAAATTAGTAAAAAGGAATTCATTGAAAATGTATGCAACTGCTGCAGAAGAATATTTTTAAAAAATATTATAAAACATGAAAAAGAAATTTTAGATTTTTTGCTAAAGAATTTAATCAACTTTATTAACGAACGTTCCTTCTTTGGCATATATCAGTCGCTATACAACATATCGCAGTATCAAAATAAAAACTTTAGAAGCGCGAGTGAATATGCAGACGAAAAGTTTCAGTTTCTCCTTAACGTTGTCCCGAGGGAAGTAAACGGGGGGATTTTACTCGTTAATGATAACAGGTTCAATTTGGATGCACTTTCTCTGCCAGATGAGAATGACGAGAAGGAGTTGAGGGAGTACTTTGCCGGCATTGCGACCGGTGCACATCGAGGGAGCGGGGCGGCCACGAAAGGAAGCGGCAGGGAGAGAGATGCTGTCACGAAGGGAAGCGGCAAGGAGGGAGAGGCAATCACGAAAAGAAGCGCCAAGGGGGAAGAGGAGGTGACGAAGAAAGGAGGAAAGGACAGAAAAAAGGGCGCGATATTAAAAAGCATACACGGCCGTGATGGTGATGGCCAGGCGAAAGAGACGTTGCCACCAGGAACAACCGAGGAAATGGAGTGCCTAGACGAAGAACTGAGTTGCTTCTACCTGTTTGTGTATTTCCGATCGTGCTTCGAAAACATCAATTTTTATTTAATGGAAAAATTTATCGAAAATTACTACATTAGCCAAGGCAAAGAGAACATCTACAAGGAGCTATTTCTGTTTCTGTTCTTAATTTACAAAGATAAGATGCACAGCGTCGTGGATGGCATTTTGGTGAACACGATAAATTATTTGAGCAAGGAAAATGATACAGAAGTGAGAAAAAAAAAAAAACTATTAAATGAGGAGGTGGTGGTGGTGGACGAAAAAGTGCACATTACAGATTCGCTGTTTTACTTCGAATTGCTTATAAATATTATCACTTTCAGAAATCTGCAGTATGAAAATAATTACGAATACTACATACACATTCTGAAGTTACTTTACGAGAATGACCAGTTGCAGGAATTATTCACATCGTCGCTGTTTTTCGTTTTTATTAGTGCCGAAGACAGCGCTGTCAGAAATATGCTGCTGACGAATTTTTCAAAATACCATTCGAGAAAGCATCAACTTTTATCAAAATTTTTTATTCACTTGAAGAATGTGTTTCGTTTCATATACGATATGGATAGTGACCACTTAGTTTACAATCACGCTACATTTAACGCTGCAGCTATGGCCCCTTTTTTGCACCACCCAGAGAATGGGGAAAAAAACCAAGGGGATCACAGCACTGGCGAGAAAATGAAACAGGAGTACCTCTCCTTTGTGGCAGATAATATACACATAGACAAATATACATGTGAATTCTTTAAAGAAGCTTACTACATCATTAGCAGGAGCAACACGGACTACTTCTGCCAAGTGACAAATTTGTATTTACACATTTATGACCACATCTTCAACAAGATAATAAACATCATTTACCAAAATGACATGAATTTGAATGACGAATTTTTTCAGATCTGCAAAAGTATTCTCAGACCCTTTTTATTTATTTACTTTGAATTATTTGAGAATTTTTTGGAGAAATTTAAAGAGAGAATATACAACGAACGGTTGATGCTCTCCTTTTCTTTTATTAAAAAGTATCTTTTTAAAAGTCTCTATGAGAAGGCCTTCCAGCAGAAGGATCTCTTCTACGTCATTTATCAATTTTATTTTTTGCTTTACGCTCTCAAGTACAATTTTCGAAACTTTCTAACTGCGCTCGTTATGACCAAGCGGAAGGTAACACACCAACTGGAATTATTCCTGAAACTTAAAATTCAGAATTGCACAAGTTTGCTCAGCAAACCAGTACGTCGCGATGGAGCGGGAAACGCTTTGCAAGACACGCCGCAGGGGGATGCCGAGCAGAATAGCAGCAGCGAGGGGGGCAGGATGCACGACTCCACCCTCGGGCAGGGGCCAATAAGAGCGGGGACAAATAGGAAGGACCACGACGGGGGTGACAGAAAGGACATGCGTAATAGCCAAAAAAAAAGAAACCCATCAGGAGATCACCTCGAGAGTCAACAGCCGAGCAACGACTCGTCCGGAAACCCAAATGACAGTTCGCTCCAAATCGTGGATAACAGCTTGGAAAATCCACACAGCAATGAGGAGAGGGAAAAAAATAAGATAATAAATTTTTTCCAGAAAAATTACTGGACGCTGAGATATTTCGAGGCAAACACGGAAGAGAAGCTGGATGAGTTCTGCTCCCCTGATTTTAGCCTACCTTTGGTAATGAAGGAGACACCCAAGTTGAAGAAGAAGACCATTGTCACCAACCAGAGCGATAAGAGAGGGAAGAGCACTGGCGATGGCGGAAGCGCAGACGGGCGAGAAGGGGCAGGCACGAGGGGGTACGACTCCGCAAGGGAGCAAGACCAAAAAGGGAGATTCGTGAGAAAGCTACACTCCTTCTTCACCAGAAAAAAAGAAGTAGATAAACTCATCAATGAGCTCTTTCTGAACAATAAGGAAAACGTGTACAGCAAAATTCTGAAAACCAATTTGGCCATAATAAAAGAGCTAACTAACATCCGCATGGATGTACTTTATCCCATTTTTAACGCCAGCCTGGTGTTCCTATTTGACGACTTCTATTTTTTCATCATACATAATATAAAGTTAGTCATTGAGGGAAAGGAAAAAAAGATGTCAAATCATAAAATTTTTATGAATATGTCCTTCATTTTGCTGCACACCTTCGCCAAGGATGTGAAGGTGGAGAAGTACCTCGTCTCCATATTTTACATTTTGAGATTGTCACTGAATAATTTGAAGAAAATTAAAATAGTGGATCAACAAAAAATCCAAGGAAGTAACGCCAATGAAGTATATAATAAAAATACGAAGAAATTTGAAAACCATATAAAATATTATAACCTTATGAAGGATAAGGATGTCGCAAAGGCGAACACATCAGGGGTGGAGGAACAAAAGGAGAACGCGGCGGATTTGCAATTGTCCGCTGATGAAAGAGCCAATGTCACCCTCCGCAAGATTGAAGAACAGGTAAAATTGTATCAGAACATTTTTTATATTTTTTTAAAATTGGTTCAAAACATTTTAAAGGAGAATAACTTGTACTACAATTTCAAATTCATCATTTATGATATTTTATTTTGCGAGTTTTCCAACAAAGGAATTATCTTCTCGTGCATGAAGTGCATTCTGGACAGGGCAAAGCTGGCGGAGGTTTACGCCTATAGCTTGGCGGTGCTCAGCCAGGGGCAGCTTCAATTGGGGGACGTAGATAACGCGGCGGATAATGCGGCGGATAACGTGGCGGATAATGCGGCGGATAATGCGGCGGATAATGCGGCGGATAACGTGGCGGACAACGTGACTGACAACATGACTCACAACATGACTGACAACGTAGCGAATAACGCAACAGCTTGCCCATACCGAAACCACATGTCGCGCATCCTGTCCAAGGGGAAATCCTTCGAAGTGAACTTCTTCCAACCAAGCCGCGCCAGCAGCCGAAACGTGTCTTCGCTCTACATCAATGTGATAATAGTGTATTTTATCTTCACCCAGAAGAACAAGAACAACGAAAAGAGCAAAATATACGACAACTGCCTAAAAATGAGTGTGAACGACTACTACAGCGTTGCCAACAAGCTACTGTGCCTTTTGTACTCGAAGGAGATGCAAAATGCTTACTACGAGAGGTACTTGAAATATATGTGCCTAAAAATTTTAAAAAAAATTTATTGCCTCTTCTCGATAAGAGAGGCAGACATGTACATAACACACATGAAACGGAACAGCACAGAGGATACAATTTTTGAAGATAGAAAACTGAAAGATGTTCACCGTTTTAAGGAGGAGCTAATTGGTTTATTTAAGTTTTTATCAAATTACGAAATTCAGAATTATTTTGACAAAAAAAGTGGACATAAAACAACCTCAGAGGAGTACAAATTTTTCTTTTTAGAAAATCTAAACTGTAACGATCATGTGTTCAAGAGTGATAACCTGTGCTTCCTGATCAGCAGCTTACTTTTTCTATTCAATCTCAGGTACGACAATACAACTTTCTACAAAATTGTGTATATCATTTTAGTAGAAAAAAATGACAACAGAAATTATATTTTAAAAAAAGTGATCTCATCTGTGAAAAAATTCATCAAAATGGCAGATACATACAATTGTGTGCATAGGGAAAATAAAAAAAGGAAAATAAGACTACCTCCTGATATAGCAAACCATTCTATCCTGTTGTATACAGTCCGAACGAGCATTATTCTGCTTCTTCTAATGGACAGTAACAGCATTAACAAATCCACACTTGTCCAAGAAAATTATATTACCTACCGAAACTTTCGAAGTTACTATATAAAAAAAAAAAACATTAAGAACTACTACACACAGTTAAACTTGTTGCTCTTTAGAATTTTCTACAGTGAAAAAATATTACCATACTTCTTCAAAATATTTTTCAGTACATTATATGTTATATCTTTTAGAAAGACGAACCAAAATAATTTTTACTTTTTGGAGAGGATATTCAATCTGAAGGATGACACGGAAATTAGTACAACGGGTGGCGCACCAAAAGAAGGACACCCCGCAGCTGTGGGGGAGAACCTGCTCAACGGAAGCGAGGATAAATCCGTGCAGCTGCTGGACGAGAGTAGCATTCACCTAAGTGAAAAGTCGAAGGGGCTATGCTCCAGCCAGACAAACGGAGAGAATGAGAAAGCCGGAAAAAAAGACAAGGTCGGAAGAAAACACATGAGAGGCGAAAAAAATAGGGACAGCAGGAGAAAACCATCGAAGCGCAGTGAAGGGGTGAAGAGAAAACACCTGAAGGAGGAGAAAAATCCGGACAAATTTTCCGAGAAACGTTCGGATAAACGTTCCGAGGAAGGCTCGGGGGAAGACTCGGAGGATGACCCACAAGGGAGAAGCACCACTTCCGAAGAAATGAATAAAAATTACCGTGCAATTTTGCGAAGCCGTAATAGAAAAACGACCATGGTGGGGTATAAGAAAGACGAAAAAACAAACCTTGTGGATAACAAGTCGGGTAAAAAGTACATGAACATTGAAGAAAGCTCCAGTAGCACTTCAACGTCCGACTCAGAGGTGTCGTTCAAAATAAGAACAAGAAAGAAGAATACTCGAAAAAGATCCAACACGAATAATAGTGCTTCCAGTGGGAAAAGAAGGAAGGTCCCCTCCAACACCTCGGAAAATGCAACAACTGAGAGGAAGAAACGGGCACAGAAAGGGACTTCCCCTCAGGAGAAGATGGAAAAACAGTCATTTAGCAAGCGGGAAGAGGTTAAAGCGGACATGTTGAACGGGACAGCTACAGCTGCATTGAACGTGGTAGGAGGACATGGCGAAGGAGACACAGGCGGAACTCCAGGAGTGGGTGCACCAACGGGTGCTGCACCGGGGGGGGAAAGCGACTCCATGGAAAACTTTCTATTCAACGGATTGCTGTCCTTAAAAATTTTAAACCATTTCATATTTATCTGCAAAGGCTTCCATGAAGACTTGGAGATAAAAATATACAACGGTGTAATAGCATGTTTGAAGGAAAACGAAAACGACAAGGAAAAATTGAAAAATATTTTAAGTCTTCAGTTCAGTGAAGACGAAAAAACCTCCACAAAGTATAAGAAGAAATTACAACTGCTCAGAATTATTCAAACGAAAATTATCTTTCTCAGTTATATAAAAGATAATTTGAAAAAGAGGAAATCGCTCATATCACGAATGAGTGAATTAAACTTGAATATTTTTAAAAACAAACCCATGTTTAACATTGAGTTAGATTTCGTCTGAGCGGGAGGCTAAAATGTAGTGAGCCGCTTTG